TCTTCAAAAAGTTCTTTGGCAAAAAGTTCACTCCGTAATCATTTTTTAGAACTTTCGGTAACGTCTATATTGGTAATATCTATAGTTTCACTCATTATATATTATTTGTTTACAAATTCAAGTTGTGTAACGTAAATTAGTCTAGCGCGTAATTTATATTACGAAAAATTAGATTACTGATCATTCGGGTCACCTAGGTCACACGGGTCAAGGAAAAACGTGACCCGAACCTGACGGGTTTTATCGAATTAGGAATCGTGTCATAAAAATGATAAACCTGACTCGAGAAAAAATTCAAGTCAGGTCGATCAACCTGGGTCGACTCGACCAGCTCGGAGCACTACTTCTATCTCACCCCTTACTTCTACATCTACAACCTTTGAAGTAACTGAAACAATAATGAATACTGAACAGTTAAAGAACCTCATGGACCACATGACAAAAAGTTTCAAAGATCTTGCTAAAGATATTAAGAACACACCATCTAGTTCGGGTGGACATGGTGGAAACACTACACTAAAAGAAAGTAATATTATTACGGTAAAACCTTTCTATGAAAATGATGATGAAGACCCTAATGATTGGATCAAAAGCTTTGAAATTGCTGCTGAAGCAAATAATTGGTCTAAAGCTCAAATGCTAAAAATTGTATCAGGATATCTGCATGGACTAGCTGCATATTGGTTTGAAGAAAATGTCAATTTTATTACTTACTGAAGTTCAAATAGTAATGCCGCCGCAAGTTTTGTACCATTGTTTTTAGAAAAATTCTTAACTGAAGAAAAGCAAAATCTATGGCATCATCAATTAAATACACTTCGCCAAGAACCTTATAAAAAAGTGGATTTTTATGCAGGAAAATTTAAAAGATTGTTAAAGAAAGTCGATTCTTTTAGTGCCTTACCAGATACATATACTGTAAGACTTTTTCTTAATGGATTAAGGAAGAATATCGTTCCTCTTGTAGCATTTAGTCATCCCAAAAATGTAGAAAAAGCTATTGATGCAGCTAAACAAGTTGAGAGTGGTCAATATTATGAACAGCAATCCCCTATACCAACTCAACCAAGTGGAAGCAATAATGCTATCAATAATCTTACTAAACAAATGGAACAGTTATCCTTAAACTATGCAACTCTTTCCAATGCATTATCTGCACAACTGGAAGGAAAACCTGAAAGAAGAAAGCCAAAAGATGATAGAAATCCTACAAAAGTTTGAGATACAAAGGCTTAGGATAAAAAGGATGTTATTTGTTATCGTTGCCAAGAATAAGGACATTATTCAAAGGAATGCATGTCTGAAAAACCAGTTTATTGAAGAAAATCTGATAAAAGAGAAGCAAGTTATGTTGGAGTTTTTACGAATAGTGAAGAAGAAGAAATTGAAGAAGTAGAGGAGGAAGAAGTTTATGCTCTTCCACAAAATAAACCTTATACTACTAATAGAAAAACTGCTCGACAATTAGAAGCAGAAAGAAAGAAACAATCTGAATCCAGAAGGGAACTAAACTTAAGAAGTAGAAAACCCATCGATGAATTTATGAAAGTGGAAACCCCACAAATTATTACTCTTACTCAAAAGAAGAAAGTTAAACGAGGACCATTCCAAATCGATTAAATGGCTTCCTATAATGTCATGCAAGATTTGTTACAAATGCCTTCTTCTGCAAAAATTGGTCAGCTTTTATAATACCCAAATCAGAGACGTAACCTTGCTCAAGGGTTGAGGAGACCAAAAATTCAAGAAACAAATTATGCTAATCAAGAAAGTAATGAAGAAAAAGAAGACAAATCTACAGCTATTCGTTGCTATGTTAGAATTAAAGGAAACCCTGTTGTTGCTATTTTAGATTCTGGAGCTGCTGTCAGTATTATTACCAGGAAGTTAATGAAAAAAGTAGAATTATCTATTGATGAACAGTCTAATACTGTCGTAGTCACTGCTAATGGAGAAAGGACTAGAGCATTAGGACAAGTTAAAAGAGCTTAAATTGCTATCCAAAACCTATTAATTCCTATCTCTCTACAAGTTATTGACTCACAAGATGAAACCTTACTTTTAGGAATGGATTGGTTTAGAAAAACTTATACTAGCCTTAATTTCAAAACCAACCAAATTAGGTTGAGATATTTAGCAAAAACAATTACAGTTCCTGTAACTTCTAGTGCAAATGAAGCCCCTATTAATTATCCTACTACTCAAGATCAACAGGATGACGAACTAGAACAAGTTCTAGACGATTATAAGAAAGAGGAACTTAGCAAAATTGAAGCGTATATGGCAGACAGTCAAGAAGAATATGAGGAGGAAACTGACCTTCTACCCCTCGACTATAACCCCTGGAATGAAGAAAATCATGTCTATTTAACTCTAGCATTTAAGGAAAAATTTGAGGCTAATCTGGTAGTATTTCTTGCTGAAACCTTTAAAGAAAATATTTGGAAAATTAAGGTTGACCTTCAAGTTGGGCCTCTTGATGACAATCAGCAAATGTCTTTTTAAAAATTAATTGATGATTATAAGGATATATGTGCCTTAAGTCAAACAAAAATTGGACGAACTAGCTTAGTAAAACATAACATTTTGACCAATGATCATGATCCGGTTATCACTGGAATTTATAAATGCAAAGATCCAATAAAGCTTAATTTTCTCAAGAATGAAATCAAACACATAGAAGAAAATGGAATTATCAGAAAGTCGTTAAGTCCCTGGGCTTCTCCTGTAGTTATAGTAGTGAAGAAAACTGGAGATGAACGAATTTGCATTGATTATAGAAAGCTAAATTCTATTTCTAAAAGTGATGCATATCCTCTACCAAGAATTGACGATTTACTAGAGAAATTTAGAAGAGCAAATTGGTTTTCTACACTTGACCTTGCTAGTGGTTATTGGCAGGTAGAAATGAGTGAAAAAGATAAGGAAAAAACTGCTTTTATTTCGCAGTTTGGTCTATACGAATTCAATGTTATGCCTTTTAGACTAAAG